CTACCTTCATTACTACAATCAATATCTACATTATCTTCATTCAAAAACATCTGAAAAGGTCTCTAATTAGATTCACTTCAACACTGGATTTCAATACAATTTATTTAATTGAGTAAACAGAAACTTCTATGTACATTGTACATTTCTATCAATCTTGTATTTCAGCTGCTTGAAAGTTTATTACTCAATATTTGTTTAATTTTATATAAAGTATGATTATTCATATTTACAGAATGAGGTATCTTTAAAGCTGCAGTAGGTTTAGTTAGTTTAAGTTAAGTAGTGATCCTAATGGTATTTGCAAGAATCCACCACGCCTGACTGAAAACAACCACAATCAGAGCCAAGATAAACAGAAGGACACTTTGGGTTGGTGGCTTTTTTTTAGCTCTGCAACTAAATTATGTTGCCAAGCAACTTTGATTATAACACTTCATGGTCCTACACTAATCCGTCATAGACTTAGAATGGATAGAATCGTAGATGGATCTTGGTAGTAATGTCTAACTCTGATCTGTGTATTTCTTTTACTTCTCCATCAGACAGACAGACAGACCAAATAAAATACAATACAAAATAATGAAAATAAATATTTCAAGAAGCATAAATACAAAATTTACAGTAACATATGAAAGAAATATTATGTACATTATGACCTTTTTTTAAATGAAAGCTGTGCAGTTTGTGCAGGAATGTGCAGAGTTCACAGTATCTCAGTTGCCATTGTAGTGCTGATGCTCACGCACTTCTTTATAATTCTTGAATCTTGACAAGCATCTAACCCTCCTGCACTCTGACCATGGCTGTTGTGGTCTCATCTGTCCTCCCCTGGGACACAGTACCCAGCAGCTCTCAAAATGGAAAGTGGGCTGCTGCACTCTCACATCAACATGACCCAAGGGGCCTGGGGGTTTGTGACAGGTCAGCACTCCAATCCACCCTTTCCCTCTCAGCTCCTTGTGCTCAGAGGGCTGACTCACTTGAGAATTTACTTGACATGAAAGATCTTAGACAAACTGTTCACTGCTGGGCTCAGACAGATGTGAACAGAGGTGGCACTTTGCCAGTTTGCGGCAGTGTTTCCCTGCAAAACTGCATTGTTTTGACGCTGCGGCGGAGATATGCTCCTGCTGGGACTCATGCCATGTTTTGCCACAGGCTAAGTTTGTGAGTTTGCAAGAGTAAAAGAGTAAAAGTAACCCAGAAAGCCCAGAGGAACTCTCCCAATTCAGTGCCTTCAAAACAAAATAAGAGGAGAAATTGTCTGTCTGTTCCATGTAAAGTTATAGGACAGCTTCTTATTTCTCAGGTCTTCCTGATAAGACATAGATCTACTAAAATATAGTCATTTTCTCATGATCCGATTAACAAACAGACCAGGGCCAGTGTGTAGGATTAAGTGGCATGTAGTGGTGAAGTTTCAGATTTCAACTAACTGAACACCGCTTGTGTCGATGAGAACAGGCTGTGAAGTGTGTAAAGAAAAGTACTTTGACCCAAAACTTGTGAAAAATATACCAAGGCCCTATCTCACAGCTGTTTTGGTTGTCCTTCTGGGGTACTGTAGAAACATGTGGTTGAACATGGCAAAACTCTACAGTGACCCAAATGTCCTGAGAAAAACAGCTCATCTAAGATAACAGACAAATAATATTCTATTGATGAAACTTTATTATATTAAATTTCTACTCGTTTAGGCTCCTAAATGTTACACCATCGACCTTCAAGCATTCATGTCTCTCTTATGTGCTTTGATTTTTTGTTAATCTTGTTGGGAGGTATTTTGTTCGTGTGATTTTATATATTTACACTTAATAACAGTTATTGGGTCCCAAGGAAGCTTTTTTGTTCTACTCTGTTTTGTTTAATACAATTTCCGGCCAATTATATTATATTCAAATACACTGTATTAGATACACCATTGTATATCTTATTTCCACTAATGACCCTTGCTGTATTCGGTCCACTAAATTATTT